TTATTAAATAATAAATATTAATTATTAATTATTTTTAATAATTAAATTAAAATAAAAATTTAATAATTTTAATAAGATTAATAAAATTTATTGTAACCATAACATAAGCAGAAAAGAAAAGACTCTGATTTCTTTTCTTCATATTTATTTCCTCACATGTATTTTCTTCATTTCTCACTAATGAAATGAAATTGCCTTCCTCTGCAGGGCTCACCATAGTTTTATTTGGAGCATCCATCTGCAGGGGAAGTGCGAAGTTTTGCGGAAATTTGTGATGGTTTCATGGACTGACTTAAGTATAACGTGCCAAGGACCATTAATGGAGTCCCCCATAATTTGCAGGAAAGCAAATACATTATTTTAATGCATCTTTTGCTCCCCTAAAGGAAGGCAAAAAGGAAACGAAATATTAAGAGATAAAGCCTAGGTAAAGGAAAGTAGGAAACTAAGTTAAAAACATAAATCAATAGTCCAAATCCAAAACCCATTCTAGGTCGGTTTAGTCTAACAACTAATAAGGCCCAGTGGCAAACTAAGCCCACAAAAATTTTCTTCTAAAAAAAACAAAAATTGAAATATAAAGAGAAATGCTCCTTAGTCAAATCCCACCCTTCTTCAAGCTCTAATCTCAGAAATGGCACTGAGGATTGTCTACGGTGCGGTGTTCCTCTCCATCTCCTGCGCCTACTCTATGTTCCTCCACCTTATTCTCCACCCGATCTTCTACTTCACCTCCTGATGATCGCTGCTGCTCAAATCGGTTTGGTCCTCCGATTCTTGGTTTCGATTTTTCAATACCTTTTGTTATGATTGGTTGAAACTGCAAAGGAAACGGAAAAAGTTTTTTTTTTTTGTTGCCGTGTAATTCCAGACTTTTTCTTGTTTGTTTTTGTTGGTTGTCTGTTCTGAGATGCCGATTTGTGATTGCTGTTTGTTTTTGTCGTTTTCATGTGTATTCAATTTTAATGTCGGTTCTCTGTATTATCTCAATTTTGAATTTTTTTCATTTATCAAGAAAATTTGTGTGATCAAAATTTGAAACGCGATTGTGAATTTGTAATGAAAATGATCCAGTTATCTTCTGATTTTCGAAGTTTGAGAGTATACTATAGAGATTTAATAGTCTCAGTCAAAAGATTTGGTGTCGAATTGAACCATACTGGAAAGGTGAAGGAAGACCCATTTCAATTACGTAATTTCATTTCGATTTATTAGGCTAAAGTCGCCACCATACCAAGGGAGTGTGTCTCATCTGGTGAATTTCGACAAGTGAGAGCAAAGTGGTGAGATTTCTATATTTTCATCTTCTTTTTAAATTGAACGAAATGTTATATCTGCATTTATTTATGCACCTTTTTAGCGTTCGTCTCTTTATGGATATGGGAGTATCTGCCTGTCTCTCCAATTTATTAGATTATCAACTTAGATATATGACAGTAACTGCATATATTATGAATTTACATGTGAATGTATTTGCTTTTGAGCCCTTCCTTGTTTTCCTTTTAATTTTATTTATAGAGACCACTCCATGGCAGGCTCTTCAGATTTGTTAAATGCTGCTCCAGAGCAAATCATTGTTTTAAGCTTTTGTCCTCTCAAAGTAAAAAACTTGGATGACATATTGATGTTGCATGCCAAGAATCCCAGGATCAGTGTTCTAAGGATTTAACTTGTCATCCAAGTGCTTCATTTTACACATATTTCTTAGAAAAGAGAAGTTCCAAGTTCAAATATGAGCCGTTACTCCTAATATAACTAGCCAACTGGTTACAAGGTAGCTCATGTTTACAGAATTTGTATGCCACTATTGTTCAAACTGTCACTGACACTGAGCTGTCTCCACTGATCTTCTTGTGCATTCAGTTGACTTGCTAACTTTTGTAGGTGAAGAGCTGTACTGTTGTGAAACAACTACAAAGATAAGTGTGAAGGTAAAAAGAAGTTATAACTTTATAATATGTAAACCAACTACTGAAAATTATTTGCTGAGATGATTGATTTGTGGATTCTAGGAGCTTGATGCTTCGCATGGGTTCACCTGGACGCATGTACAATAGACGTGGTTGGAAGGATTGGAAATGAAAGATCAGTCTGCCTGGCTGTTCTAGATCGAAACTACGCCTGACCTCTTGGCTTCAGAGTATTCAGTATTCTATTGAAATAAATGTATTAATGAT